TTTTTAAATTTTCTTTGTTGTAAAAATGTAAAAGAGCGCAGTTAAATAGGACAGACTTATAGTCATTACGATATATGAATCGTGACATAAATTGTTCAGGCTCGCACAACTCTGTATGGTTTCATCAATCACCCGCATAAGCGCGCATTAATAATCGTCCACTATTAAATATGCATTGGTTGTTTGCGAACGAAGCGTCATTCTCTCTCTGCCTCTCGTTATTCCACTGTGCCCGATCTCTGTCAGCCTTTATATGCCAGCTGCCAGTCACTAATTGTTTACGTAAAATGTTCTGTTTTTGAAATTGGAGCATGGCAACCATCGACATTATCTATATTATTAATTAATATCGATTACATACATTATATACATAAGCATATGCGAGAAGTACATATTTTTTAGAGAATTGTAATTATTTTTTTCTACGTCTTTATACAACATTACGATGTACATTATGATGTACATTTTGATATGTATTATGTATTCATTGTCAATATGATATGTATCAAACACTTTGGTTTCTATTATAATTGTTATATGTCTTATTATTTCTTATAACATGTGCAATTATTCTGCTTATTTAATATTTCACATGTTGAAATGTCAAACATTAGAGTATGTAAATCATATTTCACGTATGTCGCGGAAATATCGTTGCATAGTCGATGTAATTTTTTAATGGTCCAACCAGTAACATACAAAATTCAGCAGTTACTGCCAGACTTCTACTTCATATTCACAATTTGGATAAATGGTAATATTCCAAAAGCGGAAACGCATTTAAAGCTCCATTACATGAATACAGGATGCCAGATATTCGTGGGACCGCGAGAAAGATAAATCTTTTCTGCCCGAAACACGGTAATGGAAAAACACTCGGTGGCATCGGTTGTCATCCTTCCAACCGACAGTGGTGTTGCCAACGCGGTTGCATAGGTCAAGTTAGAGTAGATATGCGAAGGAAAACAACAATCCGTCGTCTGTCGTCTCCTAGAAGTGCGCACGTATTCGTACACTACCGCTGAAAATAGGTCAGTCGGAGTCGAATGATTTGGCGCGATTTTGTCTACTTCCGCGATGGGCGATGCTCTTGCAACGAAAACACGACGATTCTCAACCGGAATGATAATCCACGATGTTTCCAATTCCGGAAAGTTGCCAAGGCATTCTTCTGTCTACAAGAGTCGCGCATCCCGATATGAGATATCACAGATCGATACCAAACGCTCTCCGCGAAATCCTTGAACGGATATTTTCGACAATGGCCATTAATTACTCGCGATATAATCGAGCAACTCTTACAGTATATTATCAGTTCTCTAATACTGATTAAAATACATATTTATGCTATACTAACATTGCATGTGAATTCTCTATATTTTCAAAATGAAATATATAGTAGATAACGAAAAAATAAAAATATATAATGTGTACTTTTGTAATCTCTGAATAATATTATATTATTAAAAAGATATATTTTATATAAATTTCGAAATCCTAAGAAACATTTTTTTATACATGTTTGAAAGTCTCAAGCTGCAAAGACGAATATTATGTAAGCCATTTTTTATTCATATATGTATATATATACAAAAAGAAAGAAAGATTTTATTATATTTTATAAATATAAGTTTACGCAGAAATTGATAAATATAGTAAATTGTTCTTATGTCATATTATTACATTATATTATTATTTAAGTCCAATTTTCGCTTATGTATCTTTCGAACGCTATTTTGATCTTTGTTAACAACTTGTCAATTATGTGATAAATTCTCATCCAAAATAATAACGACAAAATAATCGCCCATTCAATGACTACAGTCAGATTTAAATAATGAGATCTTGATAGCGGAAACTTCAATGGAGATGTAATTGAAATTTTGGATCGAGCTTGGTCCGAATAACCGAGTGATGTAAAAAGGGTGTTCTTCTCGCTATACAGAGAGAGAGTCTGGTGTGCGCCACCGATCCAAGAGTGGGCGAGGGTGGCGACGATCCTAGCCGCGGTGGGCTGGCGAAGGGTGGCGGCGTAGGAGGATTTGGAGCTCTGCCACGTCGGGAGCACCCTCCTGCTCGAGAGCTCTACTGCGATCACCGATACCACACTACAGTACCTCCGCGGTTGGTACTCGTTAAGGTTTGGAGGATGCCGGAGAGAAGCGCGCGGCCTTCTCGAGGAGGAAACAGGTGGAACGACCGAGGCTCCGCTCGCCGGAAGAGCGTAAATATTGATATTCTCTCTTGCAGCGTGTAACTACTAGTTTACCATGCTTTGTTGAATATAACAACGCTCGCAAATTAAAACTATTTCGGCATTAGCCACGTCTCGCTATTAATAATATTATTCGATACTTACGAGGGAGAGAAAAATTGTGTCTGGAATTTTTAATATCTGAAGGACATAGAATTGTTTAAAGACTTAATATATGTATCTCGTTAGATTTAAATGTAGGGACCGATAATGTTAGTCAATGTCATTGACTATAAGGTCTTTACATTCTCGTAGCGATAAAAGTTATCGTTTATTCCGTGATTATTAATGATTCTATATTCGTCGGAATGTAAATGCGATAGATTATGTGGGAAGCCTTCGCTGTCTGACCTCGAATTAGAGACTGTTTCTTATATCATTTATTTGAATGTCTTAAATAAGAGGGTGCCCCTGCGACTTGTCGTTACATTAAGTATAATTTTCATTCAGAGAATTATAGTTATTAGATTAATTAGATATTATCTAACCATACAATTTAATTCCTGATAAAAAAATGATCACACATTATATCTATATCGGAATTTTTTTAAAATCTTAAATATTCAAAACAAAAAAAAATTGAATCAGAAGGTGCTCATCGCATTGTTATTCGAAATTTTTGTGTCACTCTAAAAATAGTAACGCTTAACAGTTTTGATTGCTATCTATTTAAATTATAAATTGTACAATATATGGGGAATAATATATTACATTTATATATTTAGATTTATTTAAAATGTTGAGAATATAAGATGATCAGCTGATCAGAAGATGACCAACAATAAAAAGATTTCAGTAGTAAAGAAACGTTATCGCGACGGCCAGGGAAAGAGTCCGAGTGAAGGCAGGCGTCGGTCATGAGTACAACGCGTCGAATGTTTCGTGCAAAGTGATCGATAACGCTGGTTCTCTCGTGCTACAAAAACCTTTGCTAGCTACATTTGCGGATTATTAATACGTGCCACTAGTGTATCGCGATCAACGGATGACCGAATAGCCAATTTCAGTATCGACATTATTTGCACTTTATTACTATTAGTCGCGCATCTCTCTATTCTTTCTACTTGTCTAAAGTTTATCATTTTGTTTCTGTTTGTCGCATGTAGTATGGTGTTTTTTTCAGCGACAATTAATCTCGTCTTCTAGATGTTTTCATTAATTATTTGAAATAGTTGAAACATTCGGAGAAATCATGCAATTAATTAGCAAATGATAAATATCGGGTTGTTACATTTAATCTTTAAGACACAATCATATTTAATCCAAGAGAATAATATTAGAAAATAAAGTATATAAGTCTTTTTTTAAATATGTAGCCAAGTTTTTTCATATGATTTTAACTGAATATGCTTCATAGAAATCTATTATAATAAATAAATTTTAATTATTTATTTATTGGAATTAACTGACATCACTATAGTAGAGAACTATAAAGGAACATTAACGAAATTAAATATTTATTACATATTAGTCTTATCGATCAACAGCTATCGATTAGAAAAAACCGAGTAAGACGATTTGTGCTATCGAAATATTATACTTAAACGCGAAGAGCATTTTTATCATCGCCTCGAAAGGAGGAGTACTGTCATTGTGATCATGGAAAAAGCTTGCGTAGTGATGATACATATACTAGGACATGCAATGTGGCTACATGTATCCGCTCATTTACATGCAATCACGGAGATGCATCCAGACGGCAGAGAGAGGAAGAGAGAGAGAGAGAACTTGCATTGTAGTGCCCGTTATGTCAAAGGCTAAATCTATCTTGTTTGTGTACATTTGATAGTAGGCAGCGAGTTGACGTCAGACACGATCGCGTAATAAAACTTCGTTATTCTCGTCGAAGTGGTATAATGAGTAATGCCTATCGCCATTCGTCACATACATGATTTGCCCAACGCAATATTTTTCCGATATTAAAATGGAAAAATTAATTATCTTGTAAAAATATATGTTTATGTTTCTCGTATAATTACTATGAAAGATAATTGCTCGTAATTGTTTACGTATATCATGAATATTATATAAAAATTATGAAATATTGGCAATCGAGACTCCAATTGCGATAATACTAAAAAACTTTCGATAGAAATACTTGAAATTTTTACAAGTTTATAAATATATAATATTTGTGATGATTAAATAAAGTTAAAATCTTTATGAATTAATTGTTCTTACGAAAGCATTAAGAATATAATTCATGATTCATCTATATTTATAATAAAATATTTTATAAGCATCATCTTTTTTAAATCCAAATATTTAGACACAAAATATTAGCTTTTCTAAAATATTAGGCATCCTCCTAAAGGAGAGTGTGTGTTTACGGTAGATACAAAATCTTTTGAATATTACTTCAAGAGTTTTAAATACGCATATATTAATTATTCTATTCTCATATATTCCAAACATGGAATATATATTTCTAGCCATGGAAAGGTGCGCGATAAATGCTCGTGATGCTGCGCAATATAAAGAAAACGTCAACAATTGGCAGCATTCCATTTTTTAATACTTCACAGACCTTCTTATTGCACGCGTGATCTACTTAAAGACGAGCTACATCAATATCACGACAATTTGCAATATACCTTACAAATTACTCTCATCGTGTTTCTCAGCATCGACTTTTGCGAAAAAGGAATCTCAAGGCATGCTCAAGACAACTCTTAAACCTGGAACAAATCATTCCCTCTCGCACGTCTCATCCGGATCTAAATAAGCGTGCAAACGGTTGACTTACGCGGCGTATGCAAACGGAGCGCGATGCGTGGCGGGCAGCAGGACGACCGTGGCCGCGAGGAGGACGAGGCTCCCGGATGCGGCGTGGAAGGACCCCATGGTCGTCATCCCCCGGAGTCGCCGCGAGAAGGAACCGCGGCACCACCCCGCCGCTGAGACGACGACGCCGACGACGACGACGACGATGGCGAGGACGAGGACGGCGACGAAGGAAACGTCGACGGCTGTCCCAAGGCGTTGCTACCTGGCGCGTTGACCCGGCGTCTCTCTGCGTGTCGTCCGCGTCTCACCCTCCCTCCCTCCCTCCCGCCCGCCCCGCCCTCCTACCCCCGTCTTGCTTCGTCGTCGGGCTCCTCTCCGTGTGCTCTCCGGCCCTCCGATTTCCCTCGGGTTTCCTTTACGATTTTCCTCTCGCCCGATCTACCGATTCACACCCTCTGCCCTTGCCCTGCCGTCACTATCACTCACGAGCGTTCTTTCGTCAACACTGGAGCGACGACGTCGGATCGCGGCACTCGGTTTAATCCGAATGATTCTGATACCGCGTACACCCTTCCTTCGCCTCGCGCGACAGCGTATACTTTTGCGCTTCTCGCCACTCGAGATCACAGGAGTCTTGGCACCGCCTGACGCGAATAAACGGCGACGCGTAATAAATTCGCGAGATTATTTATTAACTTGTCGCGATACTTTCTATTCTTGTCTCTCCCGAGTCCCCGTCTCTTCCCTCTCGGCGTCGAGTTTCGTTCGCGATTCCCGCTGCGTTTTCGGGGCAAAAGAGATACCGGGGGATAACACTCGGGCGGGGGATAACGGGTGTCGGTGGAGAAGGGAGATACAGCGACGAGGGTCCTCTCCTGGAGGTTGTCCGCCTCCTTCGTCCTGCAGTGTCCTACAGCGCCGGAGTCTCCTGATCGCCGGCGACGTCCTGCCACGAGCTCCGCTTCCACTCCAGGATTCTTCCTCTCGCGATGGACATTTTTTCCGTCTGCTCCTTCCGTCGCTTTTCTCTGCTCACCCGCGCTCTTTCTCTCGTCTTCTCACTTCTCTCTCGCTCTTCTCTCGCGGGGACACTCGGTCAGCACCCGCGGTACACCGCTACGCGCTCGGGAGTGGCGGCTCTCGCGTCTAGCCCGGCCGTTTCAGCGCGCAGGCGCAATTCCTTCCTTCCTGCCAGCCTGCCTGCTCTTGCCTACCTGTCTCTACCCACCCCTCAACCCTTACTCCCACTCTCTTTCTCTTTCTCTCGCGCCCACCCTAACATGCTCGCCTGCTCACCTCGAGCCGACGACTGGCGTCGTGCCTGCGCTCGCTGTCACCCTGACTGCCTGATTGTTTCATGAACTTAGTAGTTTTCGTCACCCTACCTCCTGCCATCCCTCTCGTCAGATCTCGCTATTACGTAGATTGATGCGCAACGGTAGGAGATCATGTTTATTTAGCAGCTTTTCTTTCCGCAGGATCGAGAGATCGTTGCATTGAAATTCATTCATGAAATGTTAATACATTTGCGTGGGAGATCGTGACATTTCATAAGATGCTTATGTAAGACGTACTTTGAAATTTTGTCAAGTTGGGTAACTGATGCTTGTAAATGTATACAATCTACAGATAAACTTTCAGTTAAGTGTACGCCCTAATTGAAATGATGGCCATTATGATGATTCGAGGATGTTTGTACGCATATTACAAGAGACTACTATATAAGATAATTATTAACTATATGATAATTAACTTACATGATTGCCATCTTGTCTCATAATTATCTCGCGATTGTCTACTGATTTTCATTTCTTTGCCTTCGCTTCTCTCCTTTTCACTAATATGCGTATTTAGATATATATTATAGAGCATGGTAAATTCTTTCTTGCTCATTATTAATAGAATAGCCTTGGAATTTTGATGGAATTAATTGTCACTTTAGCACGTATTAAATAATTATTGTGAAATTTCGAGTAAAATAATATATAAAGAAATTATTGTTTTAAAATTATCCGTCTGATCGCACAATTTAATAATCACGTCCTCGCGTACACGTGCACGATAATATATATTATATTCTCTCTTGTGCTCAAACAATCGCTCGGGAGACTAAACCAATCTTCGCTTGTCTCCATCTCTTATCCTGCGATTAACCCACTCGCACCTATCCGCACGAAAGGATTATTGTCGCGTTTGCAGCGTCTACTTCTCTGACAATCTAGGTACTTTAATAGTTTTTTGTTATTCCGGGATTAATCAACTCGCATCGAGAGACTCTTTCCATTCAATTTTTTGCGTTATCCATTTCTTTTCGTTTCACGTGTGCTCTTCCTTCTTCTGTGCACATAGAGTTCAGCTGCGAAAAGCATATCGTTACTTTTCCGATTGCGTCAGAATATTCGAATGTAAAGGAGCGAGAGTACATAACGGCGATAATATGAAAGAGCGAAAAGAGCTGCGTCAAAAGATATTCCATTTGCATATTCTGCGCTACTTTGTGAAAAATATCCGTGCGCTTTTGAAGTGCGACGGCGATGATGCACGTCAAAAGAGCGGACGATGATGCTCTCGCATCTGAAGACGCACGAACGTACGTGCGTGCGTGCGTGCAACATTGAGACGCCGGTCCTCCCGGCAGCATCCGCTGGAGCGAAGATAACGCGGGTTGTACGCAACGGAGGGTATGCATCCTTTCCGCCCGCGCAACTTTGGATCGAATTCTCGAGTTACGGGGCAAACTTTGAATACGCAGTACGAATGCGAGTTTGCGCCCTCCATCAAGTCGGAGAGCGATGTATAGATATATAGGATGTGTCATAAACTGCGCACTTGTAAACCATAGCTTTTTTTTTGTTACACGAACATTAATGACGTACGGTTGTTTATATCATGGCATTAAGAAGGAATTAAAAATGTTTTGACAATTTTGAATAATATCTAAGTTTCTCAAAAATGCAAAAAAATCTAATTTTGATTTGAGAATATTTATATCAAATATTAAAAAATGACAACTAAATGCCCGAAAAAAAGATTGAATGCTGCAAAATATCTATAGTATAAAGTTTAGGATTTTTCTAGGACACCTTGTCTACACAGGGCGTCGGAACACCCACACGAGCGACGGGATGATGAGGGTGAATTTTATGTGCTTTAATTTAAGTCTAAGCTTGCCTGGAGGGAACGTTTCACATTGGCATTTTTCATCTCTTTTACGTATTTGTGTTTATCTGCTTGGATTTTGATTTTTAATTATTGCGGTTATTATCAGATCTTATCGAATAATTTGATACTATTTTACAGTGTAATTTAGTTAATTTATGAATTTACTTATTTTTATTCTTTTAATTTGTGTATTCCATCTGCTTGGGATTTATGATTATAATTTAATTATCGATGCGCAAGGTATCTATTAATCCAAGGATCTCTTATCGCAATTTCCAATTTACATAATCCTGATTATGAGCGCATAAAATATATTTTTATGAATTTATTATTTTACAGGTAATTATGTATTTTGGATACTTAGAAATTATATTTATGAAAATATAATACTGAAAAGATATTCTCGTATGCTCATTCTACGTCATTTTAATTATCTTTTGTGCTCATGTATGGAAATATTGCATATTATTTTGCATTATATTTTGTCTATTATACGAATAATATTATATTCATATATATTATAATGTACATCTCTTTTATGTAATTGTATCAAACATAAAGTTACAGGTAGTTAAAGTTAGTTTATGTTTGATATAACTTTGTGTAAATTTTTTGCGAGATATTATAAAATATTATATGATACACGAGTGCGATAATTCAATCGTTTGATGCAAAAATATCGGTGCTTTTAACGATATATACATAAATCCTTTTATATATCGAATGTGAAAAATTTGATTGGATTTTATTTCAGTTGCATCCCGCGTCCTTTTACTTCATTTTTATGCTTCAGCTTTCATTCGTCGTTTCGTTTTGCAGAATATTGCTCTTTCGTATTTTCAATATTTAGCTACAATCCAACAGTTTCGACAGTAATTGTATACTTGCACCAGGATTTTTTAATTTCTTTTGTTCGTCTTATTCTAAATATATGTACTTCTAAATTTGTATTTTAATTACGTTAATTGCTGAATTTAAATATCTAGAAAGTATATTTTATTTCATTAGAGGTAACATGTGTTTTAATGAAAAAGATAATATAAATAAAACAAGTTATTTTAATCATAATGGCTCTTTAAAATATTAAAATCTTGATATCATTCATAAACATAATATATTTCATTGATATAAAAGAGAATCAAAATTCTTAGCATAATAATAGAGATAATTTTTTGTCAAAACAGTTAAGAACAATAGATTGATAATTAGAGATCGCAGCTTGGTTATACCAATTGCTATAGCCCATGTTCTCTCTTTCTTCTATCGTCAACCAAGTCGCCAACGGATATTCTGGCCTTTCGTGCACGATTGGTCTCAGTATACCCAGACGTTATCGCCAGACAAACGGCATCTCGTCTCGACAGTAGTGCAGGTAAATGCACGAGCCGGCGCACGAATTCCGGCGCGCTCGTGGACTGCCAGCGCGATTGTCGCTTACATCCGATGCTGCGAGCATTATCGTCGAGAGAGCGAGGGTGTATATAAAATGTACGTGTACGTATAGCGCATTGGGGTTTGTTGGGAAGAGATGAGAGCGCGTGCGCGAGAGATCAAAACCAGCGGGCTCTCTGTCGCCTGGGATGACGACGGCTCACGGCCCGTCTATTGATCTTGGCGAACATTGCGCGCCGGAACGAGCTGCGCTCGAAGCCTCTCTCCTGTATCATTGGCCCGAAACTCTTGTTCTAGAGACCGACCGACCGACCGACCGATCGACCGACCGACTGTGCTGGCCCGAATGATCCGGCCAAATATGGAGACAAACGCGATATATCCCGGAGAACTGTCAGCCAAATGCCGGAGCGTCCCACGAGACTCGTATCGCACGCAACTCTGTTCCACTCTGCTTTTAATCAAAAGGCGACACGACATAAGTTGAACAATCACTCATTCCAAGTTGTATGTTAATTATGTCAATGTAAACAACGCGCGGGGAAAAGAGAGATTATTAATTCACTATCCAAGGGTTCTTGGAATGTAAATAATTAAGAAATTGTAAATTTTTAGTTGCATAGAACATAATTATTGCGTTAATATTAAGCAGCCAAAAGTAGAAAGAGAGAACTGGAGAGAGAAAGAGAGAATCTACTGTTATTTATTAAGCTATTTATAGTAAGTAACATAACGCAAATTATAAAACGTAGAAAAGAAAGAAATGA